ATCACCTGGTCTGCTTTTGGAAGGGTACAAACTGGATCCAATTGTAGTAAGATAATTCAGGACTTTAATACATTGGCTCTTAATAAACAAAACCAGCAGAGCAAAAAAATGGAATGGGGGCAAAAAGATGGCAAATAATGGAAGAGGAGGGCATACGCTGATCATCGATTTGAGCTCTGGTTCACATTCACTCTGTTTACTCAGAGCAGAGGAAGGTAGCAGGTTCACTTAGCAACGTGTGCCTTGAACAGCCTCAGCAGAGGTGTGTGGTATCAACTAGGGAATAACTGCTGTGTGCTCATTAACAATCTCTCCCTTCCCCTACCTTTCTCTCAGTTATCTAAACATCTAAAATCTCTGATCAGTTTGTGTGTGTGTGCATTTAGCATGCTTGTCTCTTATTTCATCATTGCAGTTAGCAAGCATTAAAGGTGAATGTGTTTCACAGCAGGAGTCAGATTGTGCTTTGGGGGGGTCTCCTTAGGTCCAAACCCCATCAGCTGAATGTTTTTCAAAAACACCTCCCCCCCCTTTTCTTTATTTGTCAAAACGTACTTCAATATCTACATATTATTTTTAAGAGAGAAAAACTATCTATTTGCTTTTTGTAGAGTTGCAATGGGGCTAAAGGTAATGCCCTGAGCAAACATACAAGGCATATATACAAGTGGTATGAGTTTAATCCAGTATACAGGAAGAGTCTAAGAAGTGACCACAAGTTGGCTCTGCAATGGTAGCTTCGTTCCCAGACACACTGAACCTAATTATGTGTGGTGTGTGGAGGCGCCAGATTTCTACTATTGTCCTCTAGCATGTGGGTTCACATTCAGTTTGTTTGTTTGTTTGTTTTCTGGAGAATTAAAAGTGTGGGAAGAATGATGGCGGGCAGGAACAGTGGGAACAAGGTAGGAGGCTGGCTGGAAGGCTCCACTCACATTTCAAGATCGTGAACTTGTTGTGCATCAGTAGGGCAGCACCCACAGCCGGGTGAGCCCAAATGCCCAAGTGACTATGATGCTCTACATATCCATTTTGGATAGTGAGGTTGATGTGCTGTCTACCCCTCTTCTAAAACTTCAAAGTAAGCCAAGTCTCTCTCTCTCATTCATTGTGTGAAAGGGAGAGGAAGAGACAGAGAGACTGATGCAGGAGGAAAAGGAGAGGAAGATGAGGAGGAAAAAAGGGAGTGGAATTCTGAATCTCTTAGAATAAATTGCATCCTGTGTACTGAATCTCCTGGGGTTAAGATATTATCATTTTATTCCTAGAGATGTACGCTTGTAAAACATTTTATAGAGCCTTTCCCTGGCTGACTCCAAATTTCCTATCACTGCTGTACTTATGAACCTGTTAGTGTGGCACAGCAGCACCTCTCTTGTACTGTATGTGCATCTTTTCCAAAACCGCCTGTGTGTACAAGAGACTTGTAGGTCTCATTTCTCAATAGAAGCAGCACACTTTTTATTTCCATGCCCATGATGGTTAGTAGAAATGCTGCTATCCACTTTCGAGGACTGGTTCCTGCATTTGCTGTGGGGTGCTGTCAGCCTGGTCTGGAGATTCAGTGTGGACCTGCTAACCACCCCACTCCCAGCTGTCTGTATCCTAGTTACTTAAAGCAGACAAGAGCAAAGTGTCCTGTTAAAATGGAGATGATAGTTATCCTGTAACCAAGGCCGTAAAAAGTGGTTATGTGTTTGTGTGGTTTCCTGGAGTTTTGTTGTATGAACTGCTAGATGCAGTCAATAAAACACTGGAAAGATTTGTACCCTAGGCACTTTTATAAGCATCATTTTAACTGTTCTCTGCACAGGATTTGCTTTCAAAGACATATTGCTTGCAGTGGTGAAACTCTATTAGCTAATAATACCATGCAAATGTGCAACATATGGAACAATTACTATTACGGGTAGTGGAAATTTGCCAATAATAGGTACTTGGTGCTATTTCAAGGGTTCTAAATTGAGCAAGCATTTCATAGGAAGCTGGTATTATGTTTGAGTGATGCTTGGAATTTGATCCAATGCCCAGAGGTCAAGGTGGTTTTGGAAAATCTCATATAGACATCCTTTCAGATGTTATAACTGGCTTGTTTTCCTCTTTTAAATCCAAGGAAAAATTATCCCCAGACATTATGCATATAAAATGTAATTTGAACATAGTGGTGCAACATGATCGCAATTATAGGATGTGGTTTCTGACGAGGATTAATATGCAAAAACCCATAACACTACTTTCCAGCTGACTTTTTAGCTTGTTTGCAACATATCAATAGCACTCTGATACACTCTTATGTAGATATTGCAACTATGTTTATAAATAAACAGTAAAATAGTGCATACTGAAAACTGGGCCTTAAAGGATTAGGTACTGAATGAACTAAAAACTAAATTGTTTGTTGTTGGAAAATAAAACTTTGGCCTGCAAGCAAAACATTTTGTTTTGCTTCACTTTTAATAAGAATTCACCAAAATTGTTAATTTCTCCATATTCAGAAGGGAAAGAACTTGAGCCTTTTTTTAATAAGATGAATATGGAATAAACTAAGTCTGACAGCTTCATCTATCCAGGCCCAGAACGTTGAGGAATTAACTCTTAAAACTGTGGGTATGAAGCCTTGTATTACGGCCAAATTGGGGTTCCTGATGCCACCTCTTCCTCTCTGAAACTATCTTCTTTGATATCAGGCAGATGGGCAAAAAGAGAGAGAGAGAGAGAACCCCTCCTTAGGAGAGGAACTGCCCTTCTTAAACATGACTTGTTGCTGAAGATAAAAAATTATGTCCCCAGACACACTGTTTGTTTTTGGAGGAATGTATCAAAAGTCACAAGTCTAGTTGCAGTCACAACAGAAGGTGAGACTGACAAAACTTATCTCACCCTTACAGGTATAAGGCAATTAGGCCAATAATGTTATGGTGATGTAGATAAGAATAAACACTAGATTGTTGGAAACTGCCAAAAAGCATGACACAATAGCAAGTGTACAGCTGACTAATTTCAGGAAGGCATTACTGTATGTACTTATTAAATACATTTCCAGCACCCAGGTGCTGTCATTTCCATCTCTTAAGTATGTGAGAAGATTTGCCTTCTGTTATCTGGTAAAGCACCTGACAGAGCTTTATACAGATATGATCCAGAAAAATACACAAAAGTTTGTACAGCATTATCTGGTACTTTATTTTGGAGATCATGTGATCTAAAAAAATCCACTTCTGTTTTTATTTCTGTTTTAGCCTTTTTGGGTGTAGCATAATTGGATGTTTCTTGAGTGGAATAGACTGGAATAGACTGTGGCTTTTCATTTGAACCGATTGATCATGGAATGTAAGATGGAAGATCAGTCTTGCCTCTTAATTTAAAAATTAAGTTTTAAGAAGACAGCTTGAGGCGTTTGAGTACTGTACAGAGACACATCATACAGTACATATTAAAAATAACAAATCTGATCTATATGACTACTGCTTGTCTTGTTTCTTCCATTTTTAATTAGGCCATTAGGATTCTTTTGGAGAGATTGAAAACCAGATAATGATGGTTAAAGAAGTTGAAACCTCTGTGTGTGCTTGATTCTGTATACCATGTTAAGAGCAAAGTGGAAATACAGTGCACTCTCAGCTAGATGCAATTCCCACTGAACTCACAGGGTCTTACTTCTGACTAGCCATGCATAGAATTGCACTGTGTATCCCACAGAATTCAATCACGCTTACTTCTAAGAAAGCATATTGAATATTGTGTTGTGCAGTTGCAAGCCTTTGCACATTTCTAATACAGTAGTGGAAAACTTCCTTGAACGTAACGGGAGTTATTCTTTAATAAACCTAAACATGCCCATGGCTGGTTGACATGCCATTAGTGATTAGGGTGTTTTTCAAGACAACACAACATGCACAGTTCTTTAACCTTGCAATTCAAAAACTAACTGCATCTGGTCTGGCATTTAAAAATCAAGTTCATAGACTTTGAAGTCAATAAATGTCTATGCCTTGATTGGGCAAGAAGATCTAGGTGAGAAACCCAGATTTTTAATTGCATAGGCTCTGCCTGACTGGATGTGTCTTTGGACCCACCTGGATGTGGGGCTTCTAGGTGCTACAAACAGCTAACTGCATGGAAGTAAAGAAGACTGAGAACCAGTGCTGTGCAATGAATAGTTTGTAGGACTAGGACTCAGGAGACCTGGATTCAAATCTCTGCTTGGCCATGGACAATCACTAGGGGTGGCACTAGGAAAAGAACTCCTTAAATATATCTCATACCTTGAAACCTATTAGGGTTGGCTGGCGTATGTTGCATGTGACTTGATGGCACCTAACATATAACAAGAAGAAAGTGAAGGCCATTGTTCAATTTGGCCCTAAACAAATCTCACTCAGGAGTCTGTGAACTTTTCTATATTCATATTTAAGCCACTGCTCATTAATATATTTTGCAGCAATCATTGTCATGTGAAATGTCAACTGTCAAACTGTCTTAGATTTACTATCCATGCATAACTTTTTGGATTCAGTTCTAAAGCAAAAGCAATATCCAGTGCTTGTTTTTTATTTACTTGCATTTAACAAGAGTACCAATATATTTATTTATTTATTTATTTATTTATTGGACTTATATACCGCCCCATAGCGCTACAAGCACTCTCCGGGCGGTTTACAATTTTTTAATTACACAGGCTACACATTGCCCCCCCAGCAAGCTGGGTACTCATTTTACCGACCTCGGAAGGATGGAAGGCTGAGTCAACCTTGAGCCGGCTACCTGGGATTTGAACCCCAGGTCGTGAGCACAGTTTTAGCTGAACAGTATTAAAACTGGTACCAGTCACTCTCAGGGTTTTAAACAAACTTGCTGTGCTCTGATTGTTTTTTATTTACTTGCATTTAACAAGAGTACCAATATATGGAATAGAACAGTATTAAAACTGGTACCAGTCACTTTCAGGGTTTTAAACAAACTTGCTGTGCTCTGATCTACCCCTGTGGCACTTGGTTTTTGCCAGCTGATACCAAAGGCAATGTAGTACTACAATAGGACCACAGTATCCATGGGGCAAGCCTCGCCCCACAGATGCCAAAAGCCCACAGATATAACGATCATATGTATAGCATAGTTTCTCGTTCCCTCTAGTGACCAGTTTTGGTAATACACCTTGGAAAGTTATATTTCTGTTTTATATCGATAGGTAGATAGATAGATAGATAGATAGATAGATAGATAGATAGATAGATAGATAGATAGATAGATAGATATTTTACTATATCGATCGATCGATCGATAGATATTCAGATATTGAACTCACAGCTCCCATCATGCTGACAGGGTTGGGCAATGACAATAGGAAGGCCGAACATAGCTTAAATGGCCATTTTACTTTATGTCCTTAGAAAGATTTCTGTCACACAAAAGCCGGCATTGATAAGTAAGCCCTGAAATCAAAGTACTCTCAGAAAAGTCATCTTACTGGACACTTTGGAAAATATTTTCAGCTCCTGCTCTGCATAGCAAAATTTCTATCTGTTCTTATGAGGAAAATAAAGAATCTCAAGGTGATTCCTAGAGTACATGATCATGCATTAAGCCAATGTATGTGTGCATGCCCATGAGAAATGTGGTCGGGGCTCTTTATTTGCCAGTTAGGAATGGACTGAAAATTATGAATTTTCTTATGGTAAGCAGCAGGATTTCAGCCTGTGTTTAGATGAGATCCCATCCCCCCCAAGTTTTATTTACATTTTTAGAGTAATTTCATTATACATCTTTGTCTGAAGATAACATTGGACAGCCACATCTTTGGTGCAATTTTATTTTAAGATGAGGAGTCTAACTCTCCTACAATGTTGAGTTGCCACTAAATCAACTTTTTAGCCCTAGAATGAGAAGGGGGAAGGGAAAAAAATGAAAATCATATTTTATTAGTTACACGGATAGGAGCAAACGTGCACTAAGACAGTCAGAATGACAGATACGTGTTTCCAACAGTTGCTAATAAACTTTTTTTCTCCCTTCTTATTACAGGCCATGTCTCCTTGTGGCAGATGATTAGTTGCTAAGCTAGCTCTGAATTTCCGAAGACTCCTTGGCACAGTCAAGGACGGACAGAGGCAACAGCTTCTCCCTTTTTCTTCTCTGAGTGTGTTCCCCTAGAACATTCAAAACTGTTTCTCCAAAGAGTTCTGCAGAAACTCAGACTGTTTTCTAAAGCAGAAGCAGCACAGTCCACAGCGGAAGCGATGGGCAGCGTGCGAACCAACCGCTACAGCATCGTTTCCTCAGAAGAAGACGGCATGAAGTTGGCAACCATGGCGGTTGCCAATGGCTTTGGAAATGGAAAGAGCAAGGTTCACACCAGGCAGCAGTGCAGGAGCCGCTTTGTCAAGAAGGATGGCCACTGCAATGTTCAATTCATCAATGTGGGTGAAAAAGGCCAGCGTTACCTAGCGGACATCTTTACCACCTGTGTGGACATCCGCTGGAGGTGGATGTTGGTTATCTTCTGCCTGGCTTTCATCCTCTCATGGCTGTTCTTTGGTTGTGTGTTTTGGTTGATTGCCTTATTACATGGGGACCTAGAGGATGTGGACAGACCTTGTGTGTCTGAAGTGCGCAGCTTCACTGCAGCCTTCCTTTTCTCCATTGAAACACAGACAACAATTGGCTACGGGTTCAGGTGTGTCACGGATGAGTGCCCCATTGCAGTCTTCATGGTGGTTTTCCAATCGATTGTGGGCTGCATCATTGATGCCTTCATCATTGGTGCTGTCATGGCTAAGATGGCAAAACCGAAAAAGAGAAACGAAACGCTCATCTTCAGCCATAATGCCGTCGTAGCCATGAGGGATGGGAAGCTCTGCTTGATGTGGCGGGTTGGGAATTTGCGTAAGAGCCATCTGGTGGAAGCCCACGTGAGAGCCCAGCTCCTCAAATCTCGAATCACCACTGAAGGAGAATACATCCCTCTAGATCAAATAGACATCAATGTTGGGTTTGACAGTGGAATTGACCGCATCTTTTTGGTCTCGCCCATTACAATTGTCCACGAAATAGATGAAGAGAGCCCTTTGTATGACTTAAGTAAGCAGGACATGGACAATGCAGACTTTGAAATTGTAGTCATATTAGAAGGCATGGTGGAAGCCACCGCCATGACCACCCAGTGCCGTAGCTCATATCTGGCAAATGAAGTCCTTTGGGGCCACCGTTATGAGCCTGTCCTATTTGAAGAGAAGAACTACTACAAAGTGGATTATTCTAGGTTCCACAAAACATACGAAGTGCCGAACACACCCCTCTGCAGTGCCAGAGACTTAGCAGAAAAGAAATACATCCTCTCTAACGCAAACTCATTTTGCTATGAGAATGAAGTAGCTCTCACGGGCAAAGAGGAAGAGGACAGTGACAATGGAGTGCCTGAGAGCACCAGTACGGACACCCATCCTGACATGGACCATCACAGCCAAGCAAGTGTGCCCCTAGAGCCTAGGCCTTTAAGGCGAGAATCTGAAATATGACTGAAGGAAATAATTTTTCTTCTATGGTTAAAATCTAATCTATCAGTAACAGGCAAGCTGCGTTAAGTAGTGGCTGCAAATGATGGTACTGTTCAAGAAATGGGCATACAGTCCCTGGAAGAGCCAACCTGGGCTGGTTTTTAGGTGCTGTCTTCAGAAGAGGTACAGCGAATGTGTGAACTTGGAACAAGAAGCACTATGTCTGCGCTTGACTAGAAGGCACATAAATGTTGTAGAATAAATTATGTATATATTTTTTTACAAAACTTGAACTTGCAGGCAAGCTTTGGTTGAGTTGTATTGTTTGTTCTCTCTCTCTCTCTCTCTCTCTCTCTCTCTTTCTAGGTCTCTTGGGAACAAGAATGTTTTAAATGGCATAACAAAGGCAAGAGACTGCCTTAATATTTTTTTTAAGTTGCTGCTAACTACAGGAACACAAATCGTAATTATTCTTCTTTTGTTGCAGTATAGAATTTGTGTTCTTTTTATATATCCTTTTAAACAAAACAAAACAAAAAGTGGGGAGAGGTTCCGTGTTGAACTTGTTAGTTTCAAAACTGCCTGGCAATCAGTCAAAGTGATTGACGATGCTGGGGAATCTGAACGCTTATTGAGGCCAGTAGCTTGGTGGCTAGAATCAATTTTTCTCCGTACCATCCAGTTACATAAGGAGTGTTATGTAACACAAGTCCATGCAGTAGCCTACAGCAAGATTTTTTTTTTTCATTCTTAAATTTATGTTTCGGAATTGAATGAGATTTTTTCCCTCCATCTAAAACATTGTAATTTTCAAAACTACCTAAATGGATACCAAAGGGAAAAAAAATGCACACTTTTGCACAGGAAACTTTTTATTTAAATAGAGCTGGCTGCTTTCAGACTAGGTTTCCTCCCCAGTGATTGTTTATGTGTGGAGTATTTTCTAATGCACCTTATTCAAAAAATAAACCTTAGGATACATTTTCAATCCCCTTTCTGCACCAGCACCCCAATTTGGGGAAATAAGCTTCTGATTTCATATATATGTCTATCTACGTACAGGCATACAAACACACACATGTATGGTTTATATGTAGATGTTTGTGTGTGTGTATAGAGATATATATGAGAGAAACCTCTTATTTCCTGTTTGCTAAACACCAGCAAGATAATGGCAGAAAATCAAATGTAACTCAGAATCTTCAGTGTTGAGACACTGAGCTATGAAATGCAACTGAGGTCATGGTTATGAATGATCCATCTCATGTTTTAGCTTAAGGTTGCAAGGCATTTTCAGAACCAAAGAGGGTGATGTAAATGCAAGAGAGGCTGCTCAGAACAAAGCAGGAATTTGGTTTCAAGAGGGAAGCTGATACGGGACAGCCTGGTGCAAAGATCTCAGTGACTCTGTTTCGGTGGGATAATTTCTCTCTGCCAGGACTGAAAGTGCACGTGCGCTACTATTTTCTACATTGGTTGCTGAGGTGTCATTTGTTTGAAGGGACAGCTTACATATTGTAAAAGAGTTCCCTCTGTGGGTTTTTAATAAGCTGCCGTGGGATGATCAGTGGGCACAAAGTTTGTACTAAAATCTTTTAACAACTACTGCAATCTTCTGCTGAACTGTGACTTTAGTGGCATTTTGGGGTCTCCTGCCAAGAATGCTTTAAAAATTCTCTGTGCCTCTTAAGATCAAGTGTACCACTTTAGCTACGGCCATAGGTTATAGACGTGGAAGACCTCCAAACAAGCAAGAAGTAAGGATGACACCAAGGAATCAAGGCTGAAACTCTTTTACAGTATTGGATCTCACTGCATGCCATTAAAAATAGCTTGTCCATGGTTCCAGTGCTGTTTGCTAGTAAACAACTGTGGAGGTTTTGCCCTGCCAGAAGCAGACAAATTACAGTAATGTGGCTGTTCCTAGATAGGGTGCGATTTACTTTAAGCAGAGTAGATGGGTTTTAAGCTGAAAAAAATTGGATACTGCAAATGTAGACTGGTTTGCTTTTTCTTCTTAAGGCAGATATTTATATATTATGTACTTAGGGTAATTGTGTGGGGCGGGGGAAGCAGGGTGGAGGAAGCTAGGTTTTCATGGCAACCTGATGAGTCTTAGGGTCAGGAAAATGAACATGACTCGTGCTGCTATCGTGATACATTTTCCGCAAAGGAAAATAAAAGTGCAAACCAAAGAGTATTTAGTGACACGTTAAACAAAGAAGGGAGGAAGCTACTCCAAAGTGCACAAAGCTCCCACTTGCAAGACTTGAGTTATTACATGGAAGGGGAGGTTGAGAAAGTGTTGAAAATATTTGTTTTAAAAACAAACACATAGAGAAAGGGATTTTTCTAAAAACCTAATATTTCTTCTCCTTATTTTTCTCTTGAGAGTTGATTTTTCTCTTCCATGACACAGGGTTTTATGTATTCAGATTTTAAAAAAAAGCAAAATACAAAAATGTATACTTTTATAAAGTTTATCAAGTATTTTCATATTTAAAGCCAAATGTAAATAGAAAGTTCATTTAAAAAGAAAATGACGGAGAAAAGGCCAAGATGGCATCAGTTAGAACCTACGATGCTACTGGTTAGCATGGTTTTTAGAAAATATTTGCAAGCCTTATAGGATTTTTTAATGCTATGAGTTTTTGTTTGTTTGTTTGTTTTGTTTTTGTTATTTATTTAGGCATGGATGTTTAACTTGATTGTGGTCCCCCCACCCTTGCTGTTGGCATTTTTTTTAAACCTGCTTTCAGATTGCTGGAGTCTTGGTAAGAGTGGATAATCTTATTGCACTCTTTTTTTGACTCTTCTTCAGATAAACCTTTGTCTTTATCTCTTCACTTCAACCTGTGGAAACTGCTAGGAAGAAACTTCCATTTTTGTTAATATCATGGTACCTGACAGCCCTTAGCTGTTTTTTTCCAATTGTGATATTAAAAAAAGAAAAGAAAATGGGCATGCCTCAGGAGACTCTGCCTAGGTTCCACAGCCATTGTGAAGGTACAGCAAACACACTGCTTTAAGTAGCTGGTAAGGACAATTGTGCAAAGTCTTGAGCAGTACAGTTTTGTGGTGCAATGGTCAACTACTTAAACCTGATGGAAAATTTCCCACTGTCTTCACTGGAATGCAGATGGCACATGTGAAATCCTCAAAGCACCAACAAGAGTTAAGGGGCAAACAGTAATTTTCCTCTTCCCTAAAATACTTGAATGGTGGGGTGTCTCTTCTGTGGAATTAACTGTCCTTTGCAAGGCACATCCAAGGGAGGTGATGCATTTGAGTATTTCTCATGGTTGATATGGCGTGCAAGGGTTTAAAGTGAATAAGATCACTGCATGTTTGTATCCTCTCAATACGGAGTTCAGTCACAGTCAACTTGTTTGTTTGTTTGCTGTTCATTCTGTTGCACATGCTTTGGGCAAAGACAAAGGCTTCTGGATCCAATATTGTTGGTTGTTTTTTTTTTTACATCCTTTTTTTCTTCGTGTGTGTGGGATTACAAGGTAAAACTGAGAAGTACTGTAATGTCTTTTAAAAAAATTGGCTGCTGCTGACCATTTTCAAGATAGGAGGATGCTGCACAGTTGCCGTCCCACAGGCAAACTGGAAGATCTCTTCTTTTCTCTTCTCCTAAATGGGTTTTCTGTCCTGCAGCTGTTTTTAAGACGAACAAACCAATAGGCATTCGACAATCATTCTCCCTTACTGTTTTCCTGTTTGCAGCCTTTTGTATCTAAGTCTTCCTAATGTACTGCACAAATCATGGACTGTACAGATTNTATTCTTGCACATTTTATGTCCAGTGTTTTTCAAACAAAGAAACAGGTGATCACACAAGTGTCGTTCAAGTGCAGTATGCATAATTGCACTCTTTTTTGGATTTTGGCTCAGTTTACCTACCGATTCTTGGGCATGTAGCAGGTTATACATCCTAAGCCTGTCCTATAGGATATATGCATTGTTTTATTTATGACAGTAACGGTGGGGATCTTGAGGAAGTCTGCTGGAGGGTGGAAAGCAGTCATGTGTGCTTGGTGTGGAAGCCTCCAGCTCTTGGGCATCAATGCCCAGCAATCCTAGTCAGCGTGAACAATGGTTGAGGATGATGAGAACTGTCTCCAACAACATCTGCAGTTCTACCAGTTCTTTAGTCCTGTTTGTTCTAATAAGTCACATTACAGCATCCCCAGCATGTTCTTTTAGACTCATTACACTTAAAAGGTTTGGATTTTTTTTTAAAGGAGAAAACCCCCACCAATTGCTGCTTACTGTGTTTCTGAACAAAAAAAACTATTCATCGTCATTAAATATTAGAAGCAAGACGAATACTAGCCTCTCAGTTGCCTCCCTTAACACTACTCCTCTTCCTTCCCTGCTGCACATGGTGCAGGGGCCCAACATCCTCCCCTCCCCCTATATCTGTGTGTGCCCCAAATATTCGCAAAGGTGTGTTTGTTTGCTCCCAGACAAACAAGGACACTTGAACCTAGTCCTGTCGTGTTTACTTAAAAAAACGGTTTGTGGCAGAAGAAGACACGGCATGCAACAAGTGCAATATTTTAAGACAATAGAAGAATTCACAAAGATTTTAGTGCTAGACTTATTATTGCATGATCTTGAACACTACACCCTCAATCCAGAACATAACAATGCATCCCCATGCCAGAGGTCACTGTGGCCTGCTTCTACAACACAAGTCTAGCACTGGGAAAAGGCCCAGGAGGTCCATTCATCCCATGGTCTAGATATCAATCAGCTGCAATGCTCAGGAGACAGACCCTCATCCTCTGCACAGGATGGCCATTTACACATCATCACCAGAAAGGAGGACACTGATTTGTGTTAAATTGCACATACTAATTTACATATGCAAATGCAAAATTAGGAACAATTTTTATAATACAGACAGCACTACAGTCTATCTCACCATAGTGTGTGGATGGCTGTGTCCTGGTGGCTTGTGTGCCTCCTGAACCTGCTGACCAGGTGCGGCTAACAGTGGGTGGGCAACCTGAAGGCTCCTGATTTCCCCTCCTTGTAGTTTGTGATTGCTGAATCAGATTTTGACTGGACACACTTGCCCAATGAAACCGATCAGGAAGAACAGGGTTCCACTCTGACAGCCCTTCAAATGGAGAGCCACCCTCCTTAAAAGAGGATGTACGCAGCCATTCTGTCTGTACAGCCAGGTTGGGCAGGAGGGGCAACTATTGCAAGGATGCTGAGTGAGGATGCCTGCTTCAGTCAGTCCCATTTGCACTCTGCTAAATCTGGAGGCAGCCTCATATAAGGGGTCATTATTGAAATCCATACGAGCCACATGCCTCCCACTAGCTGCATTTATGGAAAGGGCACGCATGGATGAGATGAACGAGCCGGCCTCGGTTTACTGCAGTTTCGAACAACTTCTGTAAGTCAGTGCTAGAAGAAGGTAGGGCTACCCTTCATAAAGCAGTACAGCCCTTTCTGCAATGACTAATGGACCAAATATTAACTGGAGTGTGGGGTTGTGGTGGTGCTCAATGTTTATATCCAGCTCTCTCTCTTTCTTTTTCCTTCTGGTTTGCAAGCAGCTTAACTTGAAAAGGAGAAGGAAAGGCAAATGCGTATTCATTGGTTTTGGCTTGGTGTGAATGACTAGAAGTAAACAACTTAAGCTGGAATCCACAAACCAGTTAAATTGGCTCCGTCTCCATCCCCATTATATGGTTTGTGGCTTGCACCATCGAGGTGATACTCTTTCACTAAGGCATACTGTAAACTGCGTCATCTGTAAACCGCATATTCCCCATTAGGAAAAAAGGAAAGAATGCTGTCATGCAACCAGGCTTCTAGGGAACACGGTTGGTATTAGAGCAGCTATTCCTATCCCAGCCAGCTGGACCTTCCTGAGGGAAGATTTGGAATAAAGTGAGTGATGGCCAGGGACGGACACTTGTGTCCACTGGGCACTTGGCCACCTGCAGCATGCCTCCTCTGAACTCATGTGGGCATGGGGATTTCCTAAGACAGCTGCAAGCATTGAGAATAATAATAAAATATAATGCTACATTTCCAAGCCTCAGAATAGAAGGATTATTATGGTGGGGGTGGGGAATATCCTTATGCAGAGAATCTGAACATGTGACAGAGTATAGAAGCTTCTGCCTGGACAGTGGGGATGCCCCATCCAGTGCTGAAGCTGGCATCAGCTGTGTGTGATCCTGATCTAGCATGCACCTTAGCTGCTAGGAAGCCAGATGAATGGCCAAACTATCTGCCACCAGAAACTGAAGTGCCTTAGTGTTTGGGGAGAACTTTGCAAATGAGCAGGTCCAGTGGCAAATGAAGATTGTTTACCTCCTGAGGACCAATCACAAAATGAAGCAGGCTAATGTGTAAACCACAGCCGGTATCCAAAGCTCCTGCTGTTGTTTTCCAACGGTTTCAACACCTCTTTCTAATACTGGGCTATCTGCAATGTAGTCTGGACCTGAGTGAGACTAATGACTGGAGGGGGAGGGGTGCCACACTTGGTCGCTCCACTGTTTTGCTGCTTCAGATGTAAGGCAGGAATATTAAGCAATGGCAAACATTTGGGTGAGTCAAGCTGTCCCCCTTGCCATGCTTCAGCAACTTACATAACCCTTTCTTGTTATTTCTCCTCCTCTGTTCCTCCTTCCCCAAGCATGATTGACTTCTGGCTTTGGAGTTTGGTAGCTCATTTGTAAGTAGCAGCATTTAAATCTTCCTTTAAAGCTGGAGAGGCTTCCAAAACAGCTTAGGCTCATAGTCAATTTATTGGTGCATCCCATTTTTCAAACTTAATTGCACTCCAAGTGGTTCACTAAAATAAATACAGTAACCATCATTACATCATGACATTAACTCAATTACCCTTCATTTAAAGCATTTCCAATGTTGCCCACAAAACAAAGCAGCATTTTTAAAGAATTAAAGATGAAAACAAAACCTCACACAGAACTCTTCTGCTGCAAAAGGCCAGTCATTTCTCACACATATGTGGTCCTCTCCTAGGCTCACATCACTAGATCTCTAAACTGTAGGGAATCTATAAACTGTACCATGAAAGCATTTGATCTGGCAACATTAAGTGCAAAATATAGAGCCATCCTATGTGCTCTTTGAAACAGTAATACAGACAGTCAATAGGCCCTGCACTGTGTTTCTGCTACACATGCTCTGTGGATGCCTCAAGAGGAATGATATTCCCTTCAGTCTCTATGTTCAAGAGCAGCTGCAAGATTGTGAGGAAATAGAGCTGTCCTGTGGTGTGCTAGCATAATTTGTACACTTATAGCATGCCCTACAATAGCACAATGGGTCTGTGTATGTACATTTAAACAATCAATTTAGGATTTGGGGGGGGGGTCTCACTCTTTCCCACAGACATCCATTTATGTATTGACATAATAAAACAATTTCTCTGCATGGTTGTTCTACCACTCCTTCTATTAGCTTGCTTGAGTGCCCCATTTAACGATGAATCCGCATAGCGATGAGGTTTTTGCGATCACAAAAGCGATCGCATTGCAATGTTTTAGATGGCCAAAAATCACTTTGCGATGATCAGTAAGCGTTTCACTTACCGATTTTCACATAGCGATGTTTTAAAAGCAGCTGATCAGCAGTTTCAAAATGGCCGTTGGAAAAAATGGCCGCCTGCAGTGTTTTCGCGCCCTTTCCTCACTTACCGGGCAGCGAAAATGGTGGTCGGATGGAGAATTTCCGCATAGCAGTGAGTTTTTCCCCATAGGAACGCATTAAACGTGTTTTAATGCGTTCTTTCCCCCCGCATAGCGACGAATCCGGATAGCGACAATTTTTTCGGCATGGATTATTGTCGCTATGCGGGGCACCACTGTACATAAAAATGAGCAAACGGTGAGGCTTAGGCCTGTTGTACATGTTCTCCAGGGAGCTGATTCATTCTGATCACTCGCTCTTAGGAACCCGAAAAACGAGGTATCAGTCTGAGGCTAGGAGGTGGCAGAAGTGGAGGGATTAGCTGGCCTTCCTGACTGCCTCTTTTCTCACAGAGGAGAGGCATTCTGCAGCCCTTCATCATTCAACATTCTTACTTCTCTGTCGCCTGAGGTGCAGAGTTCCCATGAGGGAAAGGTAGTCCTGGTCACAATGGACCTTCAGTATCAGCTTATAATATTACATTTAAAAGAATTTTTTAAAAGTCTTACTCATTATTTCTCCATTGGCAGATTGCCCTGACTGTTATCATTGCTCTGATTACACAATAATGTGTGCATTATTAACACATTGTGTTATCATTACTGACAGTTCATAAAAATATAGGGAAGTAGTGGTCCCGTCTGATATTAGAAATATTTATAAAATATGAAAGATGAATCTGGAGACTCTCTCCCTTCCCACTTAGGACTGATAACAGAATGTGATAAAATCTGAAAAACTTCCTGCCAAATTGCTCCTTAAATGCATTTCTCTTAAAACCAATTTTTGAGAACTGAGGTATTATTATGCCTAAAAGCAACCTTGTAACTACTAGTTATATTAATCATTAACCCCAAATAACTAAATATTACAAATTATCCAAAGTCTGGATTCACAGGATTTCTGTTCTTAAGAAACTGTATTTATTTTGCTAATTTAGTACATTCTCCAAATTCATTATGTTTAGTCCCATCAAAATCAAATAGAAGGTGCAGACAAGATACTCTGCACTTGGAAGGGGGAAAAATGCAATTAATATCACTACCGTACATGTCTTCTAAAGAGAGAGTTACC